TGTGGTTTGCGTCCCGGACCCGGTGACTTAAACTCACACTGGGTGCGTGTGTGTGCGTGCCCAAGATCCCAAGAGGAGAATGGAGGAGAAGGGATTGCGGCGTGGCCATCCCCCCTGGGGGGTGATTTCTCGCTTTCTGTCTCTCTGTCTCTCTCTGTCTTACTGGCGAGTGCACACGCCCTATAGCAAAAACCTCTCCAAAAAAAGATAAAAGAAACAAACGAAGGAAGAGATTCAGAGAGGTTAAGCAGTTTACCCAAGTTGACACGGCTTCCAAGTAGTGACATAAGAGCTAGCTCTCAGTCTTGTGACTTTCCTGCCCGTGTCTTTCTATAGACATTCTGCCTTTGAAGTCTGCTCAGAGTTTCATTGTATGCCTTTTCTTTTGCCATAGACTCAAACAAAGGACTTTTTATTCCCTTCACTAACCGGGAAATAAAGGATTCCCTGACCAGTACTTCTGCAACCCACGGCAGTGGTACACCAGATCAGAAAGCAGACACCTTCCCACTGGGGACACAGGTAATGTATCCACTCCCCTCCTAACCTGTTGACTAGTCAGTGATGAATACTAATAATTCATGGACTCTCAGGGATTTATGAAGGTCTAAGAGGACTTACTTGATGAAGGCATTTTATAGGCTCTATAAGAGGAAAAGTCGGGACAAGATACAATATCTTTGCCTATTAATTTCAATCTCTTTTTCCTCTCTCCCAGTAACCTGTTACCAAATGTTGTGTTTATACACGTAACCTTAGCAGTTTATACCAGATATTTTGGTCCTGAAACAGGGATGCAATTGTTATAGTTTTAGGCTGGTTTTTACATTTTTCTTCTCAGGCCAATGAGTGGCATGGGAGTTAAGGTGGCTGAATCCCAGTGGTTCCAGTCCCAGTCATGGAGGCTTGAAAAACATGCTAGGCATGTGGTGTGTGTGTGTGTGTGTGTGTGTGTGTGTGTGTGTGTCCCCAGAAGCCAGAGAGAAGAATGGAGAAGAGATTGCTGTGTGACCATCCCCCCTTGGCAAGTGGGTACTTTTTCATTTTCCTTTTCTCTCTCTCTGTCTCTCTCCAGGGAGTGTATGCACTCTCTAGCAAATTAAAAAAAAAAAAATTCTAGTACCAAGTGTCTCCCTCTTCTGTTGCTTAGTCTCTTAATATTTTCTACTCTGTCTTTTAATTACTGAGTCTTACAGTTCAGGGGTGGCTCTCCCCAAACCACCTCTTTTTTTACTTTCCCAAAGCAGAAGTAAGGGGGGAGGGGATTGAGACGATACAGAGGTTGCAGGCAGGGGAGAGATCATGCAAGCTGGGAGAATTGAAAATGACAAGTTTTTAGGGAAATGACAAGTTTCTTGGTGAAAGAAGGGATGGAGCCATTATGTAAGATTTCTCTGTGTGAGCGACTATGGTACAAAGAGCAGAACTGACTACTCCACAGTCGACTTCTCCCTTTCTCTGCATTCCCCTTAATAAGTTAATGAGCAATAAAAATCACAGAAAACAGAAAAGAAGCAAAGGCTCAGATTAACCCGTAATTTGGGTAATCAAGACTATACTAGTAAAAAGTAAGATTGTTTTTCAGTTTCAATATATGATACTTTCATCTTTTGAAAAGACAGATTAGTATTTAGTTGGTTTCCTTGTTTTTGAAGATTATACTTAGCTAACTCAGAAACTATCTCAATTACCATTTAAAAAAATCTTAATATTGACTTAAAATGGAGACTAAAGATACCGTAATCTCCAGTTAAAGTTAAATAGTACTTCTTAGATAAAACAACAACAAAAAAACACTATTGAAGTGTGAGAGAAAAAGGAAACTGGGCAGCTTGCTATATATTCTTTCAGTTTAAGAAATAAGGAAGTGGGATTTCTTTCTTTGCATGACTACTAAAAAGATACTGAATACTCGGGTTTTTTTTGGAGAGGTTTTTGCTATAGGGCACATGTGCTCGCCAAAAAAACAGAGAGAGACAGAGAGACAGAAAGCGAGAAATCACCCCCCAGGGGGGGTGGCCATCCCGTAATCCCTTCTTCTCCCTCTCGGCATCTTGGGCATGCACGCACACACACCCGTCATGAGTTTAAGCCACCGGGTCCAGGACTCGAACTGCGGTCGACTACATATGAGTCCAGCGACACAGCCATTACACGAACTGCCGGTCCCTGGTACTGAATACTTTTAAGATAATTTTTAAAAAGCAAACCCTATGTGGCTTTCCATTTTGCATTAGTCTTTGCCTACAATGCCTCAGATTAATTTTTAACCTGTTAAAACTCCTATTAATTCCTGTGGTCAAAATTCAGCTTTATGGGGAACCAGCAGTTAGTATAATGGCTATGTCACTGGACTCCCACGTAGTTGACCGCAGTTCGTGTCCTGGACCTGGTGGCTTAAAACTCACACTGGACACGTGTGCGTGCGTGCCCAAGATCCTGAGAGGAGAATGGAGCAGAAAGGGATTGTGGTGTGACCATCCCCCCTAGGGGGTGATTTCTCGTTTTCTGTCTCTATGTCTCTCTGTGTCTGTCTGGCGAGCGCACGCGCCCTATAGCGAAAATCTCTCCAAAAAAAAAAAAAATCAGCTTGATGGGCTGGTAAAATTAGTATGGGATTCTTTTAAACAGAAAAAGTAAAGTTGGAAAAAATGGCCTCATCTAGTCTGTATGTTGCACTTTCGTGTACTTATGTGTACTCACCAGAGAGACAGAGCAAAAAAAAGCAAGAAATCACTCTCTGGGGGATGACCATGCTGCAATCCCATCTCCTCCATTCTCCTCCTGGGATCTTGGGCACACATGTCTAACAGGAGTTTTTAAGCCACCAGGTCTAAGATTCGAACCATGGTCAACCACACGGTAGTCCAGTAACCTAACTATTATGCCATCTGCTGGTCCCTGTGACTGTTTTAAAATAGCCTTAAACTTGCTTGGAGGTCTGTTTCTCTAGCTTGCAAGAATAGACCTCTCTGCTAATAGGGAAATATTCTGAAGGTCTGGTCTAGAAAGTTCACATCTGAATGTCCATAGATTCTCTTCTACTTAAACTATCTAACTGTTTTTTAGATGCAGGAAGTGACAAGAAGGGAAATATCAAGTGACAATCAACAGGAAGATGGTAAATATTTTGCTCACTCAGTATCTTCCCCCTCATTCTCTGAGAAACTGGATGTGATAGAATTTGTAAGGAGATGAACATGTCCCAAGTGCTAGGGTATGTTTTTTAAAAACAACACGTTTAAATACAGTTGATGTTCATTTAAAAGTATTCATTTAAGAATATTCATTTCTTTTTTTATACCAGTCTTCCCTTTTGAGATAATTTCTCTCTAGCTTATAGTCCATCTATTAAAATTTCCTCCTATGTGGGCCTGTTGGCAATGAACTCTTTCAGTTTTTGTTTGTCTGAAGATGATTCTAGTTTATCCTCATTCTTGAAGGATGTTTTCACTGGGTATAGATTTCTAAGTTGACAATTGTTTCTTTCAGAATATTAAAGGTATTCCATTGTATTCTGTAGGTGGTTGTTTTTATAAAGTCAACTGGAAGTCTGCTGCTCTTGCAGGCTAATCTGTCTTTTTTTCCCTCTGGCTGTGTTTTTGTTTTGTTTTGTTTTGTTTTAACTTGCTAGAGGGCATAAGCACTTGCAGGACAAAGAAGAGAGAGAGAGAGAGAGAAAATGAGATGTCAAGTCCCATGGGGAATAGTCATATTTCAATCCCTTTTCTTCCATTTCTCCTTTCAGGATTTTAGGCATCCACATACATGTGCCCAGCACATTTTTCAAGCTGCTGGGTCCAGGACTCAAACTGTGTAGTTGGTCATGTGAGACCCAGCCACTCTAATCACTATGCCACCAGCTGGCCCCTTCTGACTACTTTTAAGATTTTCCAATTGCCTTTGGTTTTATTGCAGTTTCACTATGTTATGGATTTCTTACTTATCATGTTTTGTTTGGTGTTTTTCATGCTTATTGCACACAGTGGTGTCCATTATTCTGGAAAGTACTTAAAATGTTTCATTCTTTCTCTCTTGTCCTTCTGGGACTCTTGACTAAACAAATATATGTCAGAGGGTTTAACTTTGCCCTCTTTGTCTCTATTCTTTTATATTCTTCACCTTTTTTGTCTGTTCTACATTCTGGCTTATTTCTCCCAACACATTTTAGTTCATTAATATTCTCTTTAGTTGTTCTAAGCCACTATTAAATTGGTTATACCTGCTGAATTGTTGATTTCGGTTGTTTTACCTCTCAGTTCTAGATGTTTGATTTGGTTCTTCCTCAAATCCTCTAGATAATTTTTTATAAGGAGAATTTTCCTACTTGTTTTGTATTTCTTTAAAAATAGTAAACATAGCTTTTCTTTTTTTTTTAAGAGAGATTTTTTTGCCATAGAGTATGTGCACTCACCAGAGAGACAGAGACAGCAAAACAGAAAGTGAGAAATCACCCTTCAGGGAGATGACCATGTTGCAGTATCTTCTCCTCCATTCTTCTCTCAGGATTTTGGGCACCCACACACATGTGCCCAGCATGAGTGTTAAGCGGCTGGGTCCTGAACTCAAACCACAGTCAACTACGTGGGAGTCTAGTGACGTAACCATTACACCATCTGCTGGGCCCAACATGGCTATTTTAGAGGCTTATCTGTTGATTCCAATATCTGATGCTTTTCTGGGTCTGTGTTTGCTATCTCTCTCTCTCTTTTTAAAAGCATTATTTTTTTAAGTTATCATTTTATTTAACTTTTATTTATTTATTTTAACCAGTCTTCCCTTTTGAGATAATTTCTCTCTAGCTTATAGTCCATCTATTAAAATTTCCTCCTATGTGGGCCTGTTGGCAATGAACTCTTTCAGTTTTTGTTTGTCTGAAGATGATTCTAGTTTATCCTCATTCTTGAAGGATGTTTTCACTGGGTATAGATTTCTAAGTTGACAATTGTTTCTTTCAGAATATTAAAGGTATTCCATTGTATTCTGTAGGTGGTTGTTTTTATAAAGTCAACTGGAAGTCTGCTGCTCTTGCAGGCTAATCTGTCTTTTTTTCCCTCTGGCTGTGTTTTTGTTTTGTTTTGTTTTGTTTTAACTTGCTAGAGGGCATAAGCACTTGCAGGACAAAGAAGAGAGAGAGAGAGAGAGAAAATGAGATGTCAAGTCCCATGGGGAATAGTCATATTTCAATCCCTTTTCTTCCATTTCTCCTTTCAGGATTTTAGGCATCCACATACATGTGCCCAGCACATTTTTCAAGCTGCTGGGTCCAGGACTCAAACTGTGTAGTTGGTCATGTGAGACCCAGCCACTCTAATCACTATGCCACCAGCTGGCCCCTTCTGACTACTTTTAAGATTTTCCAATTGCCTTTGGTTTTATTGCAGTTTCACTATGTTATGGATTTCTTACTTATCATGTTTTGTTTGGTGTTTTTCATGCTTATTGCACACAGTGGTGTCCATTATTCTGGAAAGTACTTAAAATGTTTCATTCTTTCTCTCTTGTCCTTCTGGGACTCTTGACTAAACAAATATATGTCAGAGGGTTTAACTTTGCCCTCTTTGTCTCTATTCTTTTATATTCTTCACCTTTTTTGTCTGTTCTACATTCTGGCTTATTTCTCCCAACACATTTTAGTTCATTAATATTCTCTTTAGTTGTTCTAAGCCACTATTAAATTGGTTATACCTGCTGAATTGTTGATTTCGGTTGTTTTACCTCTCAGTTCTAGATGTTTGATTTGGTTCTTCCTCAAATCCTCTAGATAATTTTTTATAAGGAGAATTTTCCTACTTGTTTTGTATTTCTTTAAAAATAGTAAACATAGCTTTTCTTTTTTTTTTAAGAGAGATTTTTTTGCCATAGAGTATGTGCACTCACCAGAGAGACAGAGACAGCAAAACAGAAAGTGAGAAATCACCCTTCAGGGAGATGACCATGTTGCAGTATCTTCTCCTCCATTCTTCTCTCAGGATTTTGGGCACCCACACACATGTGCCCAGCATGAGTGTTAAGCGGCTGGGTCCTGAACTCAAACCACAGTCAACTACGTGGGAGTCTAGTGACGTAACCATTACACCATCTGCTGGGCCCAACATGGCTATTTTAGAGGCTTATCTGTTGATTCCAATATCTGATGCTTTTCTGGGTCTGTGTTTGCTATCTCTCTCTCTCTTTTTAAAAGCATTATTTTTTTAAGTTATCATTTTATTTAACTTTTATTTATTTATTTTAATTTTGACCAGAGAGGAACAGAGAAAGAGCAAGAGCGATAAGGAAAATGAGAAAGGAAGCCACTAGGTCTGGGACTTGAACCATGGTCAGCCATGTGGGAGTCTGGTGCCCTCAACCACCACATCACCTGCCAGCCCCCCCCTTTTTTTTCTTGTTTTAAAGTCCTATTGTGTCATAATCTTTCTGCTTCAAACTCTCCAAGTCACTGGGCTTATAGGCATACACTACCATGTCCAATCCTTATATTGGGCCAGGAATCAAACCTATGCCTCTCATGTGATTTTAGCCCATGGAGCACAGCTGCTGCTGCTGCTGCTGCTGCTTTTTAAATAATCAATTTATTTACATTTATTTATTTATTTATTATTTGGTCAGAGAGGGACAGAAAGAGACAAAGTGAGAAAACAAGCATCTTGGTCCAGGACTCAAACCACAGTTGGCCATGTGGAAGTCCAATGCCCTTAACCACAGTGCCACCTGCTGGCCCCTGCCCCCTCCCAGTACAGCTTCTTTGCAGCACACACCACCATGCCTGGGCCTGTCGTCTACTTCTTCTACGGGGTTTTACTCATGTTTTCTTTGCTTTTTGTTTTGGCTGTTTGCTGACCCTCCTATTTGAAAAATTGTTTTTAGGCATGATTTAAAGTCTTACATGAGTGTATCTTTTCCAGAACACCTTTTCACTTGCTTCTACGAGGTTCCTAGGGCTCTACCAGTCTGGGATTACTTAATCCCATTTCAAGGTTTGAGGTACCTTAGACCACACAGATGATGCAAACCTAGATTGCCAGTCATTACAAGGGCTAGTTTATTTCCAGTTTACATTTTCTGTGAAGGTTGTATCCTGCTTGGATTTCATCTTAATGGATGTGGATGTTGTAGAAAGGGATTTGTCACACACTTCACATTGAGTATTTCCTGAATTTGAACTTTGGTGCCTTTTACTTTACAAATCTTTTTTTTTTTTAAATTATTTATTTATTTGGAAAGATTTTTGCTAGAGGGTGTGTGCTCTAGCCAGAAAAAGACAGAGAGACAGAAAGTGAGAAATCACCCCCCAGGGGGTGGCTACACCACAATCCCTTCTCTTCTATTCTCCTCTCTGTATCTTGGGCATGCATACATACACGCCTGGTGTAAGTTTAAGCCACTGGATCTGGGACTCAAACTGCGGTCAACTACATGGGAGTCCAACGACATAGCCATTACACCAACTGCTGGTCCCATACTTTACAAATCTTTTAAAAATGGCTTTCAGTGCTAGACTTATCTATAGAGGTTCTTGCTATTTATCAGATTGGCCTAGAAGTTTCTCACTATCTTATTGGCTTTTTGATACCTTTTAGAATATATATCATCCTGCTTTTTTTAGTATCTCCAAGAGAAATAGTCCAAATGACCTAGTTTTTCATTACTCAGAAGTTCCTTGTTCTTAGAGTCTGTTACTTAAAGTTATTGTTCTACAACCTTTTCTCCCACTGTATATGTTGATACTAGGTGAAACATCGATGTTCTTATAGGTCTTACAGAGTTGGAAAGCACGAGGTCACATTATTTCTTTAACTGATTGATTAATTTCTGTTTTTATATTGACATGTAATTGTGCCTATTTATGAGGTACAATAAGATGTTTTGATATAATGTGCAATGATAAAATTTGAATAATTAGCATATCCATCACCTCAAATATTTATCATGTGCTAAGAACATTCAAGAGCCTTGGGAACCAGCAGTTAGCATAATGGCTATGTTGCTGGACTCCCACATAGTCGACCGCGGTTCGCATCCCAGACCCGGTGGCTTAGAACTCATGCCGGGCACGTGTGCGTGCGTGCCCAAGATCCCGAGAGGAGAATGGAGAAGAAGGCATTACGGTGTGACCATCCCCCCTGAGGGGTGATTTCTCACTTTCTGTCTCTATGTCTCTCTCTGTCTGGCGAGCGCACGCGCCCTATAGCAAAAACCTCTGCAAAAAAAAGATCCTTCTTTGTAGCTACTTGAACATATACAATATATTTTTGTTAACTATATCACTCTATTATGCAATAGAACACTAGAACTTTTCCCTCCTACCTGTAACAGCACTCATTGACCATCTCCCCCGTGGTACTCTCCTCGTTTCTCTCCCCTTTCTTCTATCCTTTCCACCTCTGAGAACCACTATTCTACTCTCTACTTTTGTAAGATCAATTTTTTTAGATTCCACAAATGAGCGAGATCATGTAGCATTTGTCCTTCTGTGCTTGGCTTATTTCACCTAACATCATGATCTCCAGGTCCATCCATGTTGCTGCAATCACAAGATTTCATTCTTTTTTATGGTTGAAAATATTCCATGATGTGTATACCACACTTTCTATATCCATTCATCCATCGATGGACTCTTAGTTTGATTTCATATCTTGGCTATTGTAAATAGTTCTGCAATAGACATGGGAGTACAGATAGCTCTTTGACACACTAATTTGTATTCCTTGGATATATACCCAGTAATGACATGACTGGGTCATACGGTAATTCTATTTTTAGTCTTTTGAGGAACCTCCATACTATTTCCCATAAGGCTTTTCTAATTTGTATTCCTCCAACAGAGCTTTCTTTCTCCATGCCGCTCTAGTATTGTTATTTCTTGTTTGTTGATAATAGCTATTCTAACTGGCAGGAGATGATATATTACTAGGTTACATTATTTTTAAGTTACTACAACTCAGATAGATAGCATATTTTGTTTCCCAAGGAAGCCCTTCAAGCATATGAAGCTTTGGAAACACCAAAGAACACAGCGCCTTTTCTTCTTGTTTACTGCTCAACTTGTCCCACTGTGAGGCTTTTTGAACATACCAGATAGAACTGAGGAATATATTTACTAGCTGGGTTAGTACCCAGTCCAGGAATTTTTCATAGGTTTTGTGTTCTCTACCAATTAATTGGCTTAGTTAAGATAATGGTTCCCAGTGAGTGAACCTAGAGGCTCTGGGTGGAATTTGAACTGGGAGAAGGCTTAACCTTATTGCAAGGCGTCTTTGAAATCATAGACCAACCATTATCTATAGACTTGATAGACAAAATCACAACTATTGTCATGTAAGTATATGCCAACGTTTTTTATTTTTAGAGCCAGGGTCTCACTGTATTGCCCAGTCTGGCCTTGAAGTTATGATTCTCATTGCCTCAGCCTCTGGAGTAACTGGAATTACAGACATGCACCACCATGCCCAGTTGGTACACCAATTTCTTTTATATAGAGAGAAATCTGACACTACGGGTTTCAGAGACGTTCCTAGGGAATTTTACTGAGATAGAATTTGTCTGCAGAATATCAAAGATCCTTTATTGTTTACACAAATGTTTTATTGCTGTTGTTATTCCATGTAGAATGTCTTTCATCACTTCATGCTACCATTTATCAAAATTATAAACTATGTCTTCTGAGAACTTCTTCTGTTAGAGAGTATGTTCAGTGAAGCAGTACCCCTACTGGGCCAAGAAGAATTCTCATCATGTTTTTTGTTTTTTGTTTTCCCTTCCTTGATGATGATTAGAATTCAGACACTACTCACCTCGTCAGTCCACAGTCCGATCCCCAGAGAAGATGCCTAGAGAAGGGTACCGAGTATCTTTTTTGGAAAACAAGTCTTCAGGTTCTTCTCCAGAAAAGAACTTGATACCAAAATCTGATACTTACCATCTTACCCATGATGCCTCTTTGGGTAAACGCCTGGACGTGGGAGATTCTAGCCAGATCCATCCCTATCAGTTACCTTCAGACGCTGGTCTGGAAAATTATGATAATCATTATTCTCAAACTCTATCCCTGCATGGAAGTCTTGGTAAAAGGCCTCAGAGAAGCAAGAACTACCGAGAATATAGCATAAAGCATTCAAATGATATAAAGGCCACCACATCCCATTCCTGTGGAGACTTACTGACTTCTCCGTCAAACCCTGACTCCAGCACCGGAAGGCTTTTGAAGCTTAGTTCAGGTAATAGTTTCTTGTCAGTTTATAGATCTTTTTCATAGACATGAAGATAGAAGGTTTAACTGGAAATCTTGGAATCAACATTTCTTAAATTACATTTGCATGTCCGAAGTTGTGTTTAGGATCGCCAGTAGTTCATGGAACCTTCACAAATCTGTAGGGTATGAATTTAATGTGGTAGATATATTAGAGAAAACTTATAAGAATGTAAACTTAGCAACCACATGCTATTTTGGTTCAGTGGTATGCCAGGAGAGATTTCTAGCAGCATATGGTCTTTTCTGACCAGATCACGTCTATTCTGAGTTACTTTCAGAAGTGAGTTTCAAGAAAAATGATAGAGAACACTCTTTGGTTAATTATTAATTTAACAATTAATAAATTTGTTGGACATCTGCTATGCACCAGACACTATTCTAGCTCTGCAGGTAAAGTAGCAAACAAAATAAAGCTCCATGTGTATTTTACCATACTAGTAAAAGTCCCCACTCCCATGGTGTTTGTAGTCTAATCAGATAGAACAGCAATAAACAGGTTAATATATAAACATATAATAAGTGCGGCAAAGAGAAATGAAAGGCTAAAGAGAATAATGAGGAGGCGATGTTTGAGATAGAATGGTCGGGCACTTTTCTGATGAAGTATCAGGAAAGCAGAGACTTGGAGTGAGTCTAAGACATGTAGAGAACTGGCCATGTGAGAACTTTCCAGGTGGTGGGGATAGGAGACATTTTCTTTGATTGCCCCTGTTTTCTCAGTGAAGTAAGAAGGTCAGCACCTAAGAGATGGGAGAGAAGAGGAGGCACTGGACAGCTGAGGAGAAAATAGATGTGGATAGTCACCTCAAAAAGTAGAAGAGTAAAGTGACCACAGTAATGTAGCAGGAGAGCTGGGCACTGCTAAAGGGTCCTGTTAAGATAGTGGCCATGCATTTAAGGCGAGGAAGATCAGGACAAATATATGTTCTCTAGCCCCTGCTCTGGAATTGGGGTTTTTAGGTGGAGGAAGAGAGAAAGGATCTAGAGAACTGAAGGCCATGCTATAGGGAGTAGTTACTATAACCCTTCGACTCGGGCTAGGTACAGATGGAAGTGAGAAATGAGGGAGTTGATGGGCAGGTTCACCTCCCAGCCTGTTCCCTCCACAGATCTATATGCCACAACCCATTTCAACAGTGACCCTGTCCTGGTGGCCAACGTGGAGCAACAGTTATCCACCAGCCTCAGTGATTTACCAGCAGCACATGGTTCTTTCCCAAACAACTCTATCCTGGAAAATTCTCTGCGGATGCTGATGTTGCCTCCTGGGACTTCAGAGGACAGAGAGATTTCAATCAAGAGGTCATTAAGCCCATCGAGAAGAGGATTCAAACGGAAAGACAAAATCCTTGCCAACTTGAATCCAAAGCATGGTTTCAGAGATGCTACTGGCAACGAGGCAAGTGTTGGCTTGTTTGTGCTTATGCAAGAAAGATAGCAGGTTCAAGACCAGAAGGGGGTTCTGTTGGGGGGGTGGGCAGCACTGACCAATAGTATTAGAAGTTCAAAAGGATTTTCAGAGGCCAGTGGCTAAAACTGTCAGACTAGAGCCTGCGATTCTTCTGCCTTTGGAAAAGTCATTCCTCCACTGCCACTATTTTGTCATATCTGTCGCAGGCCAGGACTGCCCTGATCCACTTCCAGAGCATAAACATGGTGGGAAAGTACTCTGATAAGAAGTGGCAGGCGAAAGTTTACCAACAGGAAGAACAAACAAGTTTCAGGGGCCTTAGGACTGGCTGAAGACTGATTTCTGTAGCATGTTTATAATCTCATCCATGTTTACACATTTGCTCTGGCTGCAAATGACTAACTTACTTGAAATAGCTCATATAAAAGCATTGCTTTGCTTTTCTACTTAGAAATTCAAATGATTCTAAACTTTTCTCAAAATAACAACAAGCAGAGATGAATTAGATCATCCAAGGAATTTTTAGCTGAAGAGAATGAACCAAAAAAAAAAAAAAAAAAAAAAAATTTTCCCACACATAAAATTCCTTTTTAAAAATAACAAAAAAAAAAAAAAAAAAAAAAGAACTATTCCCACAAATATAATTCATCTTATAAAATTGTAGTATAGGGCCAGCCAGTGGCACAGTGGTTAAGGCAGTTGAATCTCACATGGGCAACTGTGCAGGTGGAGTCTCAGACCCAGAGGCTTGAAAAACATTCCAGACACATGTGCATGTGTGCCCCAAGTCCCAGGAGAATGGGGGAGAAGGAATTATGACATGGCCATCCTTCCTGAGGGGGGTGGGGGGAGGTACTGTCTTACCTTCTCTCTCTGTCTCTCTCTCCAGTAGGTGTACATGGCCTATAGCAAACTTTTTAAAAATTGTGCTATGATAATGCTATACAATAAAATTTTATTATTATTCAGTTCTGATTTGCAAATCATGCCCCTGCTTTGCATACATTCCTCATTGAAAATGCCTTCCATTCTCCTGTTTCATTGGAATGCTCATTTTTCTCCAGGTTTGCTTTCATCATCGAGCAGCCTTTTCTTTAGAGGAACCGCAGCTCTCAGGGGCCTCTCTTCCCTTGAACCAGTCATCTTTCTATGAATAAATTTTCAGTCAATCATTGTCCTATAAGGAAGTAAAAGGTTTGGTCAAAAACGACTGCTTCTAGTCTTTTATTCTTCAGTTTTTGCATATTGGAATGAATTTATAAGGTTTTTAGTTTGTGGGGTTTTGTCTTGTTACTTTTTAGATATTTTATATTCAGTTTTTAAAACTTCAGAGATGGTTATAATTTTTGTTCACCAAAGGGGGCAGTCTTGCCATACTTTCTTTAGTTTTTTGGTCTCAGCCACTGATGCCTATTTTACCAGACAGGAGAACTAACTGTATGTTAATGTATTTAGGCTGAAAGAACAGCGGCACTTTGGATATTTAGATGTTAATATTAAGACATCTTCTAGGAATTTTTTTCTTTTTTTCTTTAGATTTTTGTCTTAGGGTGGATGCACTTGCCAGGGAGGGAGAAAGTGAGAGAGAAAGAGAGGGAGAGAGAAAGTGAGAAATGCCCCTTAGGGGGATGGCCATACTGCAATCCCCTCTCCTTCATTCTCTTCTCAGGATTTTGGGCATGCATGGGCACATGCCTGGCTTGTTTTTCAAGCCACTGGATCTAGGACTCAAACCACAGAGTCAGCCATGTGGCCGCTCCATCACCTGCTGGCTCTGTGCCAGGAAATTTTTTTCACCTCTGTTTCATAATATATTATTAAAGTATCAATGTCTTTTCTAACTGTCTTAGAGTCTTCCATTTTTTTTTTCTCATTATACGTTATTTCCCATGGAAACTTTCACAACATTGTCCTTATTTGATGAGGGGAGTGAACAGGAGTGTTGTTGAAGTGGGAAGGATTCGCTTGTGAAGCTTTCTGAGCATTTTTCCCTCCTAAAGCTTCAGCTAACTTTCAAAAACACTGTTAAAACAAGCAGATATTATTGTTCTTTGACCCTCCATCTAGTCAACAACAAAAAAAATGTCCTGCGCATCCCAAAAAGTTGTTGCCATGACTTTTGCTCTTGACCAGTCTGCTCTCGTTTTGTCTGGACCTCTCGTGCTCTTAGTAAGCGTTGCTTTGATTGTGCTTTGTCTTCAGGATAATACTTACTGGTAAACTTCTTCAAAGAAATGCTTCAGGATCTTGACCCCACTTATTGAAAATTTCCATTAAGGGCTCGCTTTGTGGCCTAGTGCTTAAGAAAACCAGATCCCACATGACCTACTGCAGTTCAGATCCCAGCCCCAGTGATATGGAAAACATGCCAGTGGTGTGCACATGCCCAAATCCCAACAGGATGGAGAAAGGAAAAAGGATTGCCGTATGATCTTGCCCCATTGGGTAGTGCCTTCTCTCCACCTCCCCCCATCTCTCTCTCTGGCAAGTACATGTGCCCTCTGGCAAATTAAAAAAAAAAAAAAAATCCATCAAAAGCTTTGCTCTTTTCTGTACCTAATCTGGCCACAACAATTTTGGCACCTACAGTGAAGAAAGTTTGTTCAACTATAATTTTCAGTCAGAATTGTGTAAGCTGAGCCAAATGAGTTGTCTGTGATGTTGGCCCATGTTTCTGCTGTTAATAGCTGGGCCTCTTAAAAAAAAAAAAAGCATAAATAAGATTAATTTTTGCCTTGAAAATTGAGATGAGGATGGGAACATCATCTTCAACATGATTTTATCTCCCCACCCCCACCCCCTTTTTTTAAATATAGAAAACCTAGGGGACTGTTTCCATAGCCTAGTGGTTAAGGTGAACCAGATCCTGCATGGCTCATTGCTGTTCTAATCCTGGCCCCAGCAACCTCTCCCTCTCTGTGTCTCTGTCTCTCTGTCACTCTTTGGCTAGCACATGCACCCTCCTGGCAATTTAAACAAAATAAGAGCTATTACTTTTTTTTTTAAGAATTATTTTATTTAACTTTATTCATTTATTTTAATTGACCAGAGAGGGACAGCGCACATGTGCGAGAGGGAGAGAGAAAGTGAGAGAACAAGCCACCAGGTCCAAGACTCGAACCATGGCCATGTGGGAGTCCAGCATTCTCAACCACCACGCCACCTGCCAGCCCAACAAGAGCTATTACAAAGACAAAACAATTATCATTTGAAATACTTTGAGGACAGTTTCATTCATTCTGTTAGAAAACGAATCTAGGTATAACAGGGAGGACAACAGTAGATACTGGAGTCCGTAGAGAAGGGGATGGGTAGCTGGGAGTGTGAGGGAGGCTATCAGGGAAAAAGCAAACAAACACAGCATTTAAGAGGCATGAAATGAAAAGCTATCTGTTGATGGTAACGTATCTGGCAAGGTCTGCCAGCTACGGGACAACCGTGTTGTACACTGTAAAGATGTACAGTGATTAAACATAAACTGAAAAATAATAAATAAAGAAAGAAAACTACTCTAAGAGGCTGGAAGCTATAACAGAGCAGACTGGTGAAACACAGTAAAAGAAATAAAAGCTAGTCAGAGCACTTGTGTCAGTGGTAGTGCAGTCAGCGTGGCTGGATGGTTCTCCTGGGGCTACCTAGAGATGCCTGCGTCAGTCTGGGACCCAAATGAATAAAAGACCCTTGTCCCCATGAAGAATTAGCAGAAGCTAGGAGCCTCAGAGAGCTCTTTCTCTTTTCAGGGGTAAGGGTATCCTTAGGCCCCCAAAAGGCATATTTTAGTTTTGGCCCTCTCTCACACCCATCTACATACACCTCCAAGCCCCGCCTTCCTGCCTCTTCTCCATCATGTTTTCACCCCATAGACCTGCTAGTTCACGGAAGATGCATACAGTGAAGTCAGGGATTACAGGCCTACTCAGAAGACACCTCGACAGAAAGTTCTGGGGTAAACAGTAAATTGACAAATACCTTCTCAATTAAGTTAATTCACCTTCATTAATAAAAATCACAGTTTTTTCTGCTGGTAAAAACTTGTCGTCTTGGGACCAGCAGATGGCATGGTGGTTAAGGGCGCTGGACTCCCACATCGCCGACCATGGTTCAAGTGCCAGACCTGGCGGCTCGCTTTCTCACTTTCTCTCTCTCTCTCTCTCTCGAGATCTGAAGAAAAATGAGTTTTAGAGAAGGAAAAAGATTTTTATCAACCCCACTCCAGAGTGGAAGAGACACCAAGTTCTTGCCTACATGAGCAAAATCTCAAGAAGAATAAGTCATTTTCTTTTTTTTAATCACTTTATTGAACTTTATTCATTTATTTACTTTGATTTGATCAGAGAGGGACAGAGCAAGAGAGAGACAGAAAGAGAGAAGGAAAGTGAGAAAGCAAGCTGCCAGGTCCAGGACTTGAACCGCAGTTAGCCATGTAGGAGTCCAATGCCCATAAACACCACACCACCTGCTGGCCCCTACATAAATCATTTTCAGTGATCAACATCTGCCTCTTCAAGCTGTCCGGCAGCTGTTTTCCAGTTTAGTTTTGTTTTTTGAGAGGTTTTTGCTATAGGGCATGTGCACTCGCCAGAAAGACAAAGACAGAGAGACAGAAAGGGAGAAATCATCCCCGAGGAAGTTGGCCATGCCACGATCCCTTTTCCTCCATTCTCTTCTTGGGATCTTGGGCACACATGCACACGCACCCAGCGTGAGTTTAAGCCGCTATGTCCGGGATTTGAACCATGGTCAACTCCATGGGAGTCCAGTGACATAACCATTATGCCATCTACTGGTCTCCCAAAGATAATTATTTTTTTTCTGGCAGCTGTTGATATGGTATCTAGTTCCATTGCATCTTCACGATCTTTTACCAAATCTTCTGTCCAGACCCCAGCCGTATTATAGCGGTTGCTCACAGGCTGAGAAAGCATTCTTCCTCATCTCTCTGATGTGGCCTGGCCTCCTGCTATTAAATTAGATAATCCTTCTTCATAGGCTTCCATGCCATAATCTCCATCATACTCATCTGAATCTCACTCTCAGGATCTGGACGCGAGACCTGGCATTCACGTGTTGTAGCGAACATTGCCTCCAGTGCTAGTTTATCACCAGGCACAAATCTATATCAATTCAGTAATAGAATCCATGTCACCATCACTATCTTCCTCTGCTTCATTATCTACAGATTATTTTGATTCTTCTCCATATCTGGCATTCACCATAACACAAAAATGCTCTCCCACATAGGTATTTAGGTCCCTGGACATTGCTTGTAAAGTAACGGTCAGTATTCCAGCAAGAACCCTAATGCAGAGCTATTTAATTGGGACAGGCAACCCTCAGTGAGAAAAAGGGTGCCCATGTGAAGGCCCCCATTCATCACAGCCTCAGTGTTGGATGATCCTGCTAGAGCCACTCACCCCCAACCCCTCCGTAGGCCTGGGCAGCAGGGAGGCTGGAAAACAGGCCAAGAGGGAGCACAGCACTCCCCGCTTGTTGCTTCCTGCTTTCTCACTCTCTCTGGTGAGCAAATTAAAATAATAATGTTAATCAATAAAATTTTAAAATATTAACACGTTCAGTGTCTGAATCCTTAGCTCCTTATTGTGTAAGAATGACAAATGGTTGGGGTTTTTTGTTGAGCCTCTCTCTAGTGACCTGGGCAGTTTGCATGGTTTGCCGGGAAACCACAGTCCCCCAATCTCTGCCAGAACCCCACATGTGGCCACTGTCCTCAGGCAGCTCCTGGAGCTCGTGGACAAGCACTGGAGCGGGTGTGGCTCCCTCCTTCTCAACAAGAAGTTTCTCGGTGAGTGAGTGCACGCTCAGTTCCTGGAGAAGGGCTGGGTTTTGCTTCTGCTCTGTGTTCTGCAAAAAGCCACTTGGCCTCCCTAACTTGTAAGGAAATTTGTTCTTGTGATCACTTAACCAAAGCTTCTCAGAAACACCCTTGTAACAAATCCACATTTTTCTCATAGTCTTCCTCATTTTTAAAAATCAGCACTCTGTCCAGTTGTTTTGTTCCTCCTGTGACTCGGGGCATGTGTGGTCTTTGGTTATAAATATAGTGACCAGATACGTAAAATAGAGAGTGGTCACGTTAATAAATCACAAAAAGACTGTATGATCTTTGGGAAAGGACCAGTAATGAACACTCAGAAATTGAGTGTGATCATTAGAGTTCCAAGGTGTTATGTTAAAATATGATGATTGGAAACACTTGAATGACCGAATGACCTGAACTCTTCTTAGGTTTTTTGTTGTTGTTGGGTTTTGTTTGCTTGTTTGTTTGTTTTTAGAAACATGGAGAAAAACAGTTTTGCAAATGTTAGCACCATGTGTTTGTTGTTTAATAGAAGAAAAATTCAAGGAACTTTTGGGTGGTAGTCAAAGTTAAAGTAAAAACTAGACACTTGAAAATCGTTTGGGTTAAAAAAAATTTTTTTTTTTAATTTGGAAAGAAATCCAGCCCAGCTACTTTCTTTCCCATATTGACCTTTTGTTCCCATTTTGTAGAAAATGATCTCCTGGAGCCACTTATCAGTGACTAGGGAATAATGCACTCAGGGGTATTCTATTGTTCTCCACAGAGGGTGTGGGATATAATTTCTTGTCCTTCATAAAACACCTCCTACAGCCACTTACTAAATTCTTACTAAAGGAGATATCTGATTACCTTATTTGTCCTACAGAGCTGGTATGACTAGGAATTCTGTACTTTAGCTTTTAAGATTGGCCTATGTGACCCACCTGGATTTTTGGCAGGTCCTGCCCGAGATTTGCTTCTCTCTTTGGTAGTCCCTGCTCCTCCTCAGCAGTGGTGTCGCTCACATCCTGAAGACACGACCAAAACCTTCCGCAGGAGGGAGACTGAGCTGAAGGAGTTCGGACAGCTGGTCCCCAATGACACGGTATGCCTCTCTCATCTTCCTTTTCTAGAAAAGGATGGAGCAGCAGGACTAGAACGGTTCTGTGTGCTAAAGATCAGCATCACATTGAACACCTAACCAAAATATGGAAAAGCCCGTCGGGGCAAATCAGGAACACAAGACTTACCAGGACAGGGGTGACTTGGAGGTTTCAGGGATGCTGTCTAATCCTCACCCTAATCCAAAAATGCTAGAGAAAGATTTGAAATGGGCAGGGAAGTGGGTGAGAAGACCCTAGAGTGGAAATGTTTGGAATCATGTTCTCGAAGGTGGTGGTTTGATCCCAATGAGAAAAGACAAATGTCTCTAGGGTTATCTTTCCTTCCAGCTGATAGAGCTTTCAGCCCTGGACCAGGGGCTCTTCTGGAGCCGCAGGCTACTGGTTCTGGAGGAGGAAAAAGGAACTTCTATCCCCAGGTTTTTTTCCTTTTCTTAACATTAGACGGTTCCAGATATGGAACTTAGTGCTAGACACTTTAAATCGGTGACTCAGAATGCTGGCCACTTGTCAAAGTGACCACTTGTACGAGAGTAGTGGATAACTCATAGGAAAGATCACAACTCCATGCAATAAATGTGTTTGCTGCACGTAAGCTGTTTTACCAAGGAATTAAAATTTTAGTGAGAAAGTCATGGAGAGGCTGACTCCCATTCAGTTTAACACTAAGTATAGGAAAAGATTCTTTCAGTCTTGATTTCATATTCTTAATGTGTATTTTGTTGTCTGATCTAAAGGAGAGTTTGAAGCAAAAACTGGTCAGAGTACTGGAGGAAAACTTCATTTTGTCAGAAAAAATTCAACAATTAGAGGAAGGTGCTGCCCCCTCACTTGTGAGTGGGCATCAGTCCCATACTTACGGTAAGTTCAAGAAAGCCATGCATGAGGTATCCCAAGACAACCGTTTGTCTGTAGATGATTTGTTTTAAAAAGCCTGTGTAGGTGCCAGTAGTGGCATAGTGGTTAAAGCACTGGACTCCCACACAGCTGACTACAGTTCAAGTCCTGAACCTGACAGTTTGAGAATCATGCTGGGCACATATGTGTATGCCCAAAATCCCAGAAAGAGAACGAAGGGAAAGGGATTGAGGTGTGGCCATCTCCCCTGGGTGGTGATTTCTCACTTTCCCTCTTACTGTCTCTGTCTTTCTCAGGAAAGCGCATGCACCCTATGACAAAAATCTTAAAAAAAAAAAAAAACTGTCTAAAGCTTAGCTGCATTTGGTCTTTTTTTTTTCTTGGTAGATAATAGAAATAATTGTATCTCAGAAAATTGTGATACGGATGATTTGAGTTACCAGATGACACTTTGTCGGTGTAAAGCATATGCAGGTGCTGTTATTATTGCCATTTATTTACTGTGGATTGGTTGGTTGATTGCTATAGGGCACACGTGCTTGCCTGAGAGAACTAGAGGGAGAGACAGGGAGAGTGAGAAAGCACCTCCTCAGGGAGGAGGCCACATCACAGTCTCTTACCCTCTACACTCCCCTCAGGATTTGGGGCATGTATGTGCATCACTCAGTGTGTTTCTCAAGACTCAGCTGCACAGCCAACCATGAGGGCTCCAACTGATTTAACCATCATGCCACCTGGCCGGCCCATTATTGCCATAATTTTTGAGACTGAATGGCACTTGCCTTTTTTTTTTTTTTTTTTTTTTTGGGGGTTTTTTTCCTTTTGT